AAATTTTGGTCGTCATCTCTCTAACTACTAGGAAGTCTAGGGAAGGATTAAAAGGTGAGGAAAAAAAAAGGCAGTACGAAGTTTCCCGGATCAGCTAGTAATAAATAAAGATTAATTCCAACTTACGGAGATAAGCCATCTGATTTGACCATGGTTAAAGTCGCCAGTAAAATGATGCGGTTCCCCTTCAGTAGGCGTGTAAAGCACATCATATCCAAGTTTTGCATCTATAAGGTTCAAATTCCCGTGGACTGTCGCCGTTGGTGTAGGGACCCCATTAACGGTGTTTGTTCCTACTGTTTGCCTCATGTTAGTGACGCTGATATGCTGAATTGTGACCAAAAAGCCGTTGTAATAATCGGCTGTCCCTAGCACTTGAAATCTGTACATCGTTGTGCTGAAATTTAATGGAGGTTGATTAGTAGCTTGTAAATTGAAAAAAAAAGTTATACGATCTACGCTATACAGTGTATACGCTACCTAATCACACAAGGAATTGTAGAAGTAATTCATATGTGACAAGAACTAACGTTCATTTATGGGCTCGTACACAAAACTGGTGCGAGCTCCCTTTACGCATTGCAAGAACTTGCGAATTGATTCGCATCGCCCTTCCCAAATTCTTTTTTGTTTCTTTTTCCTGTATCTCCTAAGCAATAACACAAGTGCACACTTCTTTTTACGATTCATGTCACGACCTAGTTCTCAATTTAAAATACGTCTAGTAATGGTCACCCTGGGAGACGCCTTGTCGCACGAAATCGCATCGCATCGCTTCAATTCGTGTCGTAATTTTCTGCGTTGCGAACTCGCATCGCATCGCATCACAGTTTTGTGTACGAGCCCTATGATCTGCTATAAATTGATCTGCGGCAGGTTGTTGGCAGATCATCTTTTCAATTGTCTTTTTTAAGGTCAAAACGCCGAAATTATTACTGCATGCGATAAGAACTCTCATTTATTTTTGATCTGCTGGATAATGATCAGCTAAGTTCACCAACATGTAGTTTAGATAAGGCAATAATTGTTACATTTTAAAAGATTATTATAAGTAGCAATTAAACCTTTATATCAATCGGTTGTCTAACAAATAAGTAATAGTATAAGGATCAAACGTGGACATAATTATTAGCCATCTTCATGCCGTCTTGCTCAAGATGAAATTATAACAATATCTTATATCTATCTATAAGTACATATAGAGGTAATAAAACTAGCTTTTACCCGCGACTTCGCTTACGTCACAAAAGGATAAAAAGTAGCCTATGTGACATATACCTATACATACAGCGCCATCTATATCAATACTTTTGTTTTCCCTCGGGAATATCAAATTTTTCCGGGATAAAAAGTACCCTATTATTTAATACGGACTTCTAACTTTATGTCTGCAAAAAATCAAACTAATCGGTTTAGAAGTTACGGCGTGAAAGCGGAACAAACAAACAAACAAACAAACCCACTTTCCGATTTATAATACTAGTAAGGATCTTAGGAAAGTGAAAACTGTACATCGAATATTTATTTAAAAGAATGCTTTGGGCGTTATCTACAGTCGGTACCGAAACCAAAAATATTGTTTTTAGAATGTTTGGCTGTTTGTCTGTAAGTATGTATGTTCGGGATGAACTCAAAAAGTGCTGCATGGATTTATTTGAAGTTTTGCATGAAAATTACTAACTGGCCGGGTCAACATATAGGCTACATATTATCATGCTATCAACTACGGGGGAGGAGCTGCGAATTACTATTTCACGCGGACGAAGTTGCGGGCTCAGCAACTTACTAAATACATTTGCTGTATAAAGATCTTACTTGATATTTTGGGTGATATTCGTCAATTTTAGTGTGCTAAATCCTCTTCGTTCTATTTCGTATATAGTTTCTTGCATTACTTCGGTGAAAAACTTGTCATGGTTGACGACATGTGCTCTTTGCGCTGTAAATGAAATTAATTTGAGTTATTAAATCTTACATAACATAACATCACGCCTTTTATCCCTAAAGGGATAGGCCGAGGTGCACATTATACCACTGTACAACGTAACACCCACTTTTCACTATTTATGTTATGAGTCCCATGTAATAGGGGATCAGCCTATTGCCATATACCGGGCACAATTCCAGACTCCGTGCTACTACAGAGAAATTTTTAAAAACCCAGTAATATTTTGTCCGACACGGGAATCGAAGCCACTCTGCCAACGAGGCAGTTATTAATCTAAATTAAACGGAATATAAGTATGCTGACAAATCTAACTAATATCCACTACTCTCAATAACTAAAACAATAGATTAATTTGGCAAGTGAGCTGACCTCAGATGGAAAAGCAAGACTGTAAATAATACGAGGATTCCATGTCCTCAGATATCAAATCGTGATTATTCGACAATGGTGCAGTTTGCAGTAAGGCATTAAGGAAGATATCAAAGTAAACAACTAGTTCAATAATTCGTGTCACTAAAATAAATACACATACAATCATAAATTCGGTACACACGTAGGTACTTACACAAAGTCTGTCCAGAAGCAAACGCTACACATAGAAACAAAAAAACAAAAATCCGTTCCATTTTTGCAAACGTTAAAAAAACAATAAAAGAAACCGAGTTGCCAGAGCTACAAATCAGAAAGTTAATAAAATCTATAAATTAATCAAGTAATCCATTATTAATGATAATCACCGATAATGAACCTGCATTACATTATCAAGATTGATTATTTTTTCAGTAGTACAGTTACATTGTATATCTATCCTTTTGACATTGATTAACATGATCTAATCATTAGCAATTAGCAATTGCGTCTGTATTTTCTAATCTTCGATACATTTTTAGACGCATTATCGGTTAAGTTCCGGTACTCAGTCTCAATTTTCGAAGACTTTGTACCTTTAGTTTTGTTTCAAGTTTTACACCTACAGATTCAGTTAACGCTTCTCGATGTTCAAAATGATGTACTATATCATAGTCGTAGAAATATTATTAATATCGTAAGATGTTTTTGTCCTTTTTTGATATCATTCAATGACTTCTCCCGCGAGATGACAGAGATAGTCAGATATTGACTGACTTAATAACCACTCTTCTAGGTTAGACTTAAAAACCACCCATTTGGTTTTCCGCAGCTCTGGGCCTTTTTTTTCTTTTAACTCTGTCGTTCATGACCAATTTGGTATGTCTTAAAACTTTTTGCTACTTAAATAATCAAAAATCTGTTAAGGACATGGGTATATTGTTGTTCATTATTTAATCGTCGTGGAAGTACTTTCTGGTCCTATACGAAAGCGTTCATCTTTATTTCTTAACGCATTTATTTTTGGTTAAGTACAAAGTCCTTCAATGGCGTCAAGGAAGTCATATTGGAAGGGTTAATAAAAACCAGTTATGTTTTTTAAAATATTTTATTTATTTTAATTTTTTATGTATTTATGTAGCACAATTATAACAGAATTCTGGAAAAGGAATTTGTTGTGTAACCAGCTCGAGTGTGATTGGTTGAAACACTTCAGGGCCCCAACCAACCATTGCTTCTAGAATGTCCGTATTGGGATTAAACTGAAAATAAAGTAAAATTAATTTAACGTTATCATCATCAGCATCAACTACGCCTGTAACTGTGCCAGTCCTAAGAAAAGGACTCTTCTCATCCAGAGAAGGAATCGGCATTAATCACTACGATTGCTCAAAATGCCATTTCCAAGGTCACCGTCCACAATAAATAAAAATATGTTCGGTATATTTTGTTTTTAATACTTACCACGTGTGTTAATATATCAGTCAAACTATCTTGGGGTTTAAATGATGGCAAACGGTTGGTTACTCTTGAGACCGCTCCTACCACAGTTACGGCCAGGGTACCCCTATAGGCATCGTGGATTATCTAAAAAAAGATAAAATAACATTTCAGATTTCAGGAGTTGATTTCGTAGTCTAATTTTTGTGTTTTCGTGACATCGTTCTCACATTTGTATATAAAATAGGTGAAGGATCAAATAAGCAACTCAATGAGAAATTTTTTTAAAGGGTAACAATGGAGTTTCTTGCTCGTTCTTCTCTTTTCAAAACTACGCTTCAGAATGAGCGTCTGGCTTTACTGGACGCCTAGCTTTACTGACAGACAGACAGATAGACAATTCAATTATTGACGTTCTAAAAGTGCATTATTAACTCGTCGAGTACCGGTTTTGTAGACACAATTATAGAACAATAGGTTGCGGTCACCGGTGACCGCTTGGTGTTTGACAGTTTAAGGATTAATTGAAATAAATGCTTTGACTATTAACTTTAATGAATTTAGGGATTAGGTACAACACTTTTGCAGAAATATCACTTAGGCTCACAGCCTGTCTCACAACGTATCTATCGATAAAATTGATCACTACAAATTAAATTTTGGAAAACATGTCTGCACAGGGAGAACTCTGTGCAAAATGACGTCAAGTCTATCACAAGCAGCCACATCTACCCAAAGATCTGTTCATTACACAGGTTATTAAAAAACAAAACTTACCGAAAAAGCGTAAGTAATCATTGGGTGGACAAACGTTATAGTATGGTGGTATGGTTGGTTTTCACCGTCGATTTCGGTGGTGACGTCATAGCCAATGGCCACCTCATGCATCCTTAGTGTCCCTCTGATGGTTACTGTTGTTTGTCCCGCTGTGGCGTTGTGTGCCCAAATTTGTTGAACAGTATCTTGTCGAATGTCCACATGTTGGACAGAAATCACGAAACCGTCGTGGTATGTCATTGTTCCAACTACAGGAGAGGTTAGGAGAGATTCACTGCAAAAAAAAAAAA